CCAAACCAGGCTCTGTGCAAACGACTGAACTGCACTGGGCAGCCTCTCCCACGTTCACTTCCACCGGTTTCCATTAAATGTCTCCAAGTTTTCCTTGGATTGCTGCTCAGGCCAGGAGCAGTCAGGTCTGGCTGACACCTCTGCAGTGTCCCAGTGTTCTCCCCGTGCCTCAGGGCTGGCAGGATCCTGGCAAAAAGAGTTTAAATTGGAATTTGGGATCCCTGCCTGGGCATTCCCACAGCGCCTGGCCCCGCTCCCTGCAAGGCAGAATGGCTGAAAAAAGGAGGATACCATTGGATTTCAGGAAATTTCCTGGTGTTTCTCACTGCAGGACCTGTCCAGTGCTTATAAACTGGACAAGGTTTACATTTTCTGTGCCAGGTCAGCCCAGGCTGATCCTCCTGGAACATTTTCCCCACAATCCTCAGGCTGATTCCCATCCCTGGCAGTGCCCAGGGCCAGGCTGGACCCTGGGACGGTGGGAGGTGTCCCTGCCATGGCTGGGGTGGGATGGGAGGGATCTGAGGTCCTTTCCAACCCAAACCAGTCTGGGATCCTGGGATTCTATTTCTAAAAACAACTGCAGGTTAAAAAAATCAAGGGAAGGTGAAGGGAGGGTGGGTGTGGGACCTGCACACACTCAGGGTCTGCATTCCAGAGCTCTCCCAGCAATAAATTGGGAATTTCCTTGTGCCATTCCCAAAATCACTCCCATTTTCCAGGCAATATGGAAGAGAGAGATGCCAGGGAATGTCCATTTACAGCCTGGAGTTCTCACAGGCTTTTTATGATCCTTGTTTCATTGGGAATTTTAGTGCCTGCCCAAATTAAATTCATTTTACAATATGTATTTATTTCTCAGCTTCTTAACAGAATAATTTGGAAACATCCCAGAGCCTTTAAACAACAAAACTGTTTTTCCTTTATGGCAAAAAAAAAAAAGTGGTTTTGCCTTTCTTTTCCCAGGGAGAGCAGCCAGCAAAGGCCCCCTTCCAGCTTGCACAAGGATGGATTTTTTTCCATACAAAACTTCAGCAGTTTAGCACTTCCAAGCTGTCATTGTCACACCACAGTCAGTTAATTACATTTACAATTCCAGAAACATGGGTGGTAAAAATTGAATTTCAAGTAAAAGACTTTGTCTCCCAGACAGTGGGCAAATAAAACTTTGCTTATCTCGCTGTAATTTCACGATGCACAGCATGAGGTGGTGAAAAATCCCTCAATAATGTAACTTATCACTAACAGGGAGTGCTGAACTCTTTCTTCCTTTCATATTTCTCGTTGGCAAGGCTGTGAAAGGCTCCAGCAGCTCCTCATTCCCTCTCCCCACACCACCAGCCAACCTGTGGCTCCTCTTCCCAAGCTGTTCTCCAGCTGCTTCCCCATCCTACATGTGCCAGCCATCTCCTCCAGGCACCCCAAGTGATTTGGGAAGGGAAAACACCCTGAGATGAGGGGAATATAAAGATGAAATGAACTCCTTGTCCTGCCAGATGTCACCGTGAGTGAAGAGCTCGAAGTGCCATCAATCCTGCAGGAGTTGGGGATTCCGTGGGGAAGGTTGGTTTTCCCTGCTGGTGGAAGGATTGCCAGGAGATCCTGTGGAAATTCACATCCTGTTTAGTTTGGAAAAGGTTCTGTTCCCTTGGGAGCAGCTCAGAGCCTGGCATGGCTCGGACAGCTCAACAAGGCACGACTCCAGAGCTGAGTGGAGATAAAAAAGGCAGGGATTTGTCCTGGGATCGTTATCCCAGCCCAAGGAACATTTCCTGTCACACAGGGACGGCTCAGCCACAGCTCTGGGGCGCTGGGAACACACAAACAAAGCCAGGATCGAAGAGCAAAAATAAAAAATGGGGTTCTTGGCTTGGGTTTACAGAGAGGACCAACACAGAAAGGCAGGAATCTTCCCAAATTGGGTTCTTGCTTTAGGTTCCTGCCCCTTGCAGGGTGCACTGAGCATATCCCAAGCTCTGTCCACTCCCACAAAAACAGGGAATGGGCTCCAAGGTGCCACAGCTGCCCTGGGAGCAGTCACAGAACCACGGGGATGGTTTGGATTGGCAGGGAAGTGTCCGAGGGCAGGGCTGGGAGCAGCCTGGGACAGTGGCAGGTGTCCCAGAGTGGCACTGGGGCGGATTTAAAGTCATTTCCCAGCCCAAAGCATTCCAGGACGGTAAGGAATGGAAGTTATCCTCAGGAGGATCAGCAACACCCACCCAGTGTCAAACCCTGCCAGTGCACTGTGAGAGGAAATAAAAATCACCTCCTTGGCACTGCCCAGGTGAAGCAGTGCCTGGATCCCACATTTTGGAGCTGGCAGTGGGGAAAATGTCACATTTCTGCTTCCTCAGCTCTGCTCCTGCTGCTCTCTGTGATCCAGAGGAACCCTGCCAGTGGGAGCTGAGGTAAATACATCCCAGGGGTGACAGAGCAGTAATTCCAGTGAACAGCACAGACCATGAAGCTGTAACGCTCTGAAATCCTTCACAGCTCCCGAGGAAAGGAGCTGCTTGCCCAATTTAACCCATCAACCCTGAGGAAAGAGACCTTCCAAGGGCTGCTTTCCCTTCAGCAGGCAAACAGAGATTTGATCTGGCAGCATCTGTATCAATCAAGAGCTCGTGCCCTGCTGTGGCCAGGAGAGATCAGCAGCAGGAACTCAAAGGGCAGCACCAGGCGAGGTGTGAGTGTCTGTGAGAAGGAAGGGCTCGGCTTTATTGCACCTGACACCTCGAGAGAATAAAAGCACTTAGCAAGGAGCACCATCCATCACTTCCTAACACAGAAACCTCCCCTTCTGCAGCCTCTGAAAGGCGAAAATGTCAGAGTGTCTTTTTAGACCTGGTGCTAATGCTTCAAAAAGAAGACAGAATATTCTAGTAATTTCCTAGTTAGCCTGTAATCCAAATTCTGCTCCTTCCCTTTTCTTGATTGGGAAAAATCCCTCTTCTTCATTGGCAAAGCTGATTTTCATCAAGTCCCAGAAAGGTTTGGGATGGAAAGGATGTTAAATCCCCCCCAGTGCCACCCCTGGATATGCAGGGACAGCTCCCACTGTCCCAATGTCCAGCCCCAATGTCCAGCCTGGCCTTGGGCACTGCCAGGGATCCAGAGACAGCCACAGCTGCTCTGGCAATTCCAGCCCAGCCCCTCCCCACCCTCCCAGCCAGCAATTTATTCCTAATATCCCATCTAAACTCCTATTCTGTCAAATCACTCCAGCTCCCACAAACATCTCTTCCCAAGCTTCTTTAGCACCAGACCCTGGTGGAGGCCCCAGGATTCTCTCCTGGAGCACAGGGATCCCTGCAGGAACAGGGAAGGGGGATCAGGGACAGCACCACTGCAGTAACAGATTGTACAAATCCTGCATGAGGCATGCTGGAAGGGAACTGAATTCCTGAAAATTGAGGGTTCCAGGTGTCACCCCTCCTTCCCGAGGGAAATGTGCTGGGCAGCAGCCCCAGAGACCCTTCCCACGTCCCACTGAGCTGCTCCTCATCCTCACGAGCATCTCCAAAGCCCACCCTGCCCTCCTGGACACCCCCAGTGGTGGCACTGAGGGTGCCTGGAGCTGGTGGCTCAGCTCTGGAATGAAGCCATCCAAAGGGACACGGCAGCCACACCATGGAGTAGCCATGGCAACCCACGGTGGCTCCCTGCTTCCCTCCTCTCTGCATCACTGCTTCCCTCTCAGCTCCTGGTTTTCCAGCCTCCTGGATAATTCCCAGGCCCAGCTGGGACACCAATGCTCTTGGAAAATAATTTTATTAACAGGCTTTTCTTCTTTCTGTCTTGAAAGTGCTGCAGTAAAATCAGATTTTATCAAAACAGGAGAGAGGTGATGGAAAAAGATGTTACCAGTGCTGAGGCTCCGTGGATGGAAAGCTGGGATAGCCATAAAAGAGTGCAGTAAAAACTCCACACTAAATTCCAGCATAAATGGACTGATGAACTTCAGCCTCACAGGAGAAAGGGCAGATTTGGCTGCCCCCCACAGAGTTTTAATGGCTTATTTATTTGTTCATGACTATTTTTGCGGGATGTGAAGAAGAAAAGCAGGAAATGTATTTGAAATCAATAATAACGTGTACTCCCTGTAACCCTGCATGGAAATTCTGCCAGGAGAAAATTGAATTGGGAATGTTGGAATCATTCAGGTTGGAAAAGCCCTTCAAGGTCACCGAGTCCCAGCTGTGCCCGGTGCCCACCCTGTCCCCAGAGCACCGAGTGCCACCTCCAGCAATTCCTGGGACACCTCCAGGGATGGGCACTGCAAACCTCCCTGGGCACTTCCAAGGCCTGAGCGCCCTTTCCATGGGCAAATTCCTGCTGCTGTCCCCCCTGAGCCTCCCCTGGCCCAGCCTGAGGCCGTTCCCTCTCCTCCTGTCCCTGTTCCCTGGCAGCAGAGCCCGACCCCCCCGGCTGTCCCCTCCTGCCAGGGACTTGTGCAGAGCCACAAGGGCCCCTGAGCCTCCTTTGCTCCAGGCTCAGCCCCTTCCCAGCTCCCTCAGCAATTCTCCAGCCCCTTCCCAGCTCCCTCAGCAATTCTCCAGCCCCTTCCCAGCTCCCTCAGCAATTCTCCAGCCCTTCCCAGCTCCCTCAGCAATTCTCCAGCCCCTTCCCAGCTCCCTCAGCTGCTCCTCCTCATGTCCTGAAGAAGATCATGAGTTCCCTTTGGGACCTTGTCAAACCTTCCCACTCTTTGTGACTTTAGGAGAGGAGAAGCCTGGAATTTCCTTAAATTCCAACAGGAAGGTAAAGGTTCACCTCTCCAGTCCAGAATCACCACCTTGGTGTCCCCGATGGGTTGGTGACTGCAACCTACACAATTTGGGATAATCCATTACTGAGCTTCTCCTTGTAAACAGCAAATCACCCTCTGGAACCTCATCAATCCAAACCCCAAACACATCCACGCTGCCTGACGTCCCTGCTTCATGCACAGTAACCCTCTGTGCCCAGGAACCCTTCCATGCAGCCAGTTTAAAAGCCTTGTTTGCAGGGAATTCTTGCAGGAATCTGAACGTGTTCCCTCTCCTTTCCCTTGGAATTAGTATGCCATTGTGAGGATCAAGGCCATTTGCAGGAATATAAAATATTCAATTAATAAGGCTCTGGAATATTTAATCATGGCATTGAAATGCTAAGGAGTGCATTAACATTTATTATTCCCTATAAAGGATGGATCTCCAGCTCTGTGCCTGTTCCAGAACAGCCCTGTGGAGCTCCAGGTGGGGTTTTGGGCTCCTTCCTAAACCGATGCTAAAAGGCAGCATTAATGCAGATTAGGCTAAATCTCATCACCACTGGAGTAACACTCCAGGAGAGAATGAAATTACCAGCTCTTGCTCTAAAGAACAGACAGGAACTTTGTTTTCCCCATTTCCAGTTAGCAGGGAATCACACAGGGAGTCTTTCCAGCAGTGGCTTAGGCCTTGGTGAAGAAAATCCAGACAGGAAAAGCAGAGGGCTCTGCCTTAAGCACTGTCCCATTTTACACCATTTTAGTTCAGGGCTTGCTCAGATGCATGAGTTTGAATTATTTGTTATTTCTGAGGTGATTTCTCTTCCATGAATGGAAACACTGCAATTTCACTGCTGGGAAATGACCACCAGAGAAAGAATCCTCTTTAAAACAGCCTGAGTTATGAGCCAGGAGAGTTTTTTATTTCCTTTGTTACTTCTGCGTGACTTCTTGCCAAATCTTGGCACTGGGAGAACATCTCACCTTGCAGGGAAATAATGTCAGCCTCTGGTGGTTTAACCCCAGCTCCTCGCTCATTATCCTCATCCTGAACCCAAATCACTGTCCCAGCTCCTGGGAAGGAATTGAACTCTGTCCCAGCCCAAACCAGGACTCTCCATCATCACAATGTGCTCTGTATTAATAACAGGCACAAAAAAAATCTGTGTTTTAAAAAATCAGCCTTGCAACCAATGGAGATCAGAGGGATCACTTAGCAAAAACACTCAAAAGTTACAGAGATGAGTAAAAATACAACTTTACTAATAAGAGAAAGGACAACAAGGATGTTTTAAAAGAATAACAGGGGAAATGATTGTAATAGCTTGAATCTGTTATTGGGAATCAATACAGTAACTCTTAGAAAATGATAAAACAAATATTTATATTTTGTGCTTGTAAAGATGCTGAGGGGAATATTCATTTTTGGTGATAGTAACTAAGTATTTTCATTCAATCACTGGTTAAATAAGATTATTAACTGACCACAACCTGAGCTTATCACAGAGAACTTTCACAAAACTTGTGAGCAGCCCCAGAAAGCTCCAGAAGGTTTAATGGGACAGACCAACACGAGGCAGGCTGCTAGTGTATATATAATATATAGTGAGGGAGCTTGGCTGGCAGATTAATTACCAGGATGGTGATTAGAAAAACGACACCTGAATGCCCCATAGAAACATCTTGAGCCAGAATTATAATTAATAACCAAACTGGAAATTCTCATTCTGAGGCGGTGCAGGGGAAGATGCTCCCCAGGAGGACAGGGAATTCCTCCTGCTCCTGTGCAGGCACAGCTCCAAATCCCAAACTCAGGGAGAAACTGGTCCAGAAGCAATGCCTGGCTCAGTGCTTCCAGCTGGGACAGGCTGGGATTGTTCTCCAGGGACAACCTGGGAAAGGAGAGAATCAGTGGGGTAAAGGAACCAGGAGTGTGTGGACACTGAAACAAGAAAGCAGCAGCCAAGCAGTGCAAGGAATGTTAAGGAATGCACTCCAGGAAATGAGGTGGGTTAAAAATGAGCTCAGGTTATGACAAGTGTGGGGCAGGACTGAGGGCAGTGCTCAGGAGCCCTTGGGGTACAAGCTCCTAAGGAAGGTGCTCCTCACTCCAGCTGGAAACTCAGAAAGCAAAACCACTCCAGGCAGGAGGGAAGGAAGGCAGTTTTCTCACTGAGGTGACAGCCACCAGAACAGCTGCCTAAGAGCTGGGGCTGGTTCCTTTTCAAATCAGAGATCACTCGGAGAACCCCAGAATATCCTGAGCTGGGACCCCCAGGGATCATCCCAGCCCCTCCCAGACCCCCCAACAATCCCAGCCTGGGCATCCCTGGCAGCGCTGCCCAAACGCTCCTGGAGCTCCGGCAGCCTCGGGGCCGTGCCCATTCCCTGGGGAGCTTTTCCAGAGCTCATTCCACCCTCTGGGGGAAGAACCTTTCCTGATCTCCAGCCTGAGCCCCATCCCTGGCCCAGCTGCAGCTGCTCCCTGGCTCCTGTCATGCCAAAGTCATTTCTGTGCCCCACGTGGCAGCAAAACCCAGCCAAAACGCTCCTGTGGTGCGGGATCCGCGAGCAGGGGAGCAGCCGCAGTTTTCCCGCCCCACATCCAGGGAATGCTCGGCTCACCTGTGCCGCACACCGCCCCTTTCCCGCCCCACATCCAGGGAATGCTCGGCTCACCTGTGCCCCACATCCAGGGAATGCTCGGCTCACCTGTGCCCCACACCGCCCCTTTCCCGCTGCTGTTCCCGAGCATCCCGGGCTGCCGTGGGTAACCATGGACAGCGGCGCGGAGCGTGCGGGAAGGCGGCTCCTGCCACCTGCTGGGGACAGCGCTCCTCTCCCACCGCACCTCCGAGCTCTTCCTAACCTCTGGAATCCTGGGCAGCTTCTCTCGGGGTGCAGAAATGTTCCTTCACAAGGGGAACCCCAGCCCGGGCACAGCCGCTCATTAGTCATCGTTTTCTTCATTATTTTTCTGCTATCCCTAAAGCACGGCTGAAAACAGAAATAATCCTGAACCAGAGGAGGAAAATAAGAAATAAGAATAAAACACCACAAGTGCAGTGTGGGGTGTTCTGTCAGTCCGAGATACAATAAAATCCAGCAGGAAAAGGTTTCCTTAGGTTTAATGAAGATTATTCTGTATTTCTGCATTTTAAAGCCACTAATAAACCAAGCCTTTATATATATAAATATATGAAATACAAGTATTTTCTTCCAGCTGCCCCAAACAAAAGAAGCATTAGTGTTTTGCTTCTAGACATGCAATTAATTGATTTAAGGCCTTTGCAGTAACTCCTGATATCCACGTGGATAAATCCAAATAAAATCCACTTTTCTCCTTTTAAACCCACAGCACAAGCAGCTGATGAGGCTGAGCAGTCACTTTAGAGGCCCTGAGCTAAATTTGCATTTATTGTCTCCAGGTGCACTTGCTCTGCCCCAGAACCACCCACAGTTGCTGGGCCAACCACACTCAACAAAAATCAAATTAACTCTTTTATCCTCAACAGCTTTTCCCACTCTGGGTTGGTCTTTCTTCTCTGAGTAATGGACCTGATCTCTTCCTTTGTGGAACAAACAGCAAACAAGCTTAAAAATCATTCAAGAAATGCTGCTTATTAAAAGAGAGTATTTCTGCCAGAGAGGAAATTTAGATGGGATGTTGGGAATTGGGAATTGCTGGCTGGGCTGGAATTGCCAGAGCAGCTGAGGCTGCCCCTGGATCCCTGGCAGTGCCCAAGGCCAGGCTGGACATTGGGAGGTGTCCCTGCCATGGCAAGGCTGGAAATGGGATTTAAGGTCCCTTCCCACCCAAACCAGTTTTGGATTCCATTTGGGAAGCTCCGCCGGCATCTGGTAACACAAACAAGATGGGATCTGCTCAGCCATGCTAACAAATCCTAGGAATTCTAACAAAACTTGCATGAATTCCACAGCTCTCCAAATTACATCCACAAATTTCACACACACACATTTGTTCCTGGAAGGAAGGAATTTCCCCTCGACTTCCTGGGGATTCTATTTTGTTCCTGAAAGGAGGCACAATGGTGGCTTCTGCAAGTAACTGGAACAGAACGAATTTTCTTTGCTTTTAATGATTTAGGCAAAAACTGAGCAGCTGAGGAGTTAAGAAACTATGAGAACACTAAGACATCATTAAATATGAGGGGTAAATTATGGCTTGAATGGGTTTTTCTGTGGTTTTTAAGGACAAATAAACCAAATGAAGCTGTGCCATCTGTATGAAGTCACTACATCAGAAACCACAATGAGACCTTGAAGTGATGTAACACCTGAACACCGCTGTTCCTTGTTATCCCTGTTGTAACTTTCCCACCTTCTCCTTCCCTCCTTCAGCCACAGGAAGGAATCTGCCAGCCCCATTCCTCCCCTGGAAGGCTCCAGCAGGACCAGCACAGGGGTTAAGGACAGAAATCCAGAGCCACCTTCTGTTTTCTGAGCAGCTCATGGCCCCCTCCCCTGGCACTCACCTGCCTCTGATGCTCACACTGCATCCCTGCGTTCCTTCTCCTGAGGTTTTGGAAATCCGGGGAGCAGCAAGCACAGCTCCCAGTCTGCCCTATTAACTGGGCTGCTAATTAGCACATGCATCTCCTGTAATGAACCTAAAGTCTTTCATTACTGTAACAACCTGCGAAGTAGCAAACAGGAGCCCGAAATAACAACTTGTTTTTTAACGCAGCTGTTTATCATTAACAGGCACACACTGAAGTCATTCCTGACCCAGAGCCGAGTTTCTAACCCACCTGCTGGGACTAATTTAGACACACCTGATCCCACTGCGGCTGCCTGTTAGCACGGAGAGCCAGGCTGCTGGGTACACCTGCGATTGAGATTTGTTGTTTATTTTTTATGCATTGTTCAGGTAACTTCCCGTTTCCCACTTGAATTATGAACCCCTACTACAGAATCTTCCAGCCAGGACAGACCAGAGCCTGCCAGGCCGCCAGAACTCCAACTAAATCCGCTATTTATCAGTTAACAGCGTGCATTTAAGGCGCTTTTCACAGCCCCGCACGCTCACTCCGGCCAGGACACCACTCAGCCGTGTTCAGCCCCTCGCAGCTCTCATTATTCACCTGCGGCGGCTCCTTCGAGCCCGTCCAGCCGCGCTCGGGGCTGGGGCAGCCGGGCTCTGCCTCAGCTCTGCCTCAGCTCTGCCTCAGCTCTGCCTCAGCCCGGCCTCCGCCCGCCCACCTGCCTAAGGCCCCAGCGAGCGCCGGGCTCTTTATGAGCTCCGGCCTTTCCGGCGGAGCCCTTCCCTGGCCCGCCCCGATCCTGTCTCGCCCCGCCCCGGCCCCACCTCAG